GGGTTGCGATCCGTTGCCGGTCACGAAAAAAGACAAAAAGAAAAAAAAAAAAAAGTACTGGTCTGAAATTTGGTAGAAACCCAAAGATTGACAAAGATAATTAAGAGTCATTATTACATGGCTTTGGGTGAGGTCAGCCATGTGAGCATGGAGAGAATTGGAAGAAAGAATCCCAAGGTAGTGGTAGAGGCAGAAGTTGGATCAGAGCAGGCTAAGGAGTGAGGGAAGGGTGAGCAAGTGGGGATAAGTCTGGAAGCTCAGTGGTAGAGGGATGTGAGAAATAGGATCATCCATGTGTCCTATCCCTCAACATGTGAGGTCTAGTTTCCTCAATGCAAGAAAAGCCTTTCCTACCTACTCCAGTGATCTTCCCGTGCCTGAATTTAACATCTGCTGCAGATGCACTCAGGGCTACATTTAACGGTTCTCTATTTGAATAAAGTGTGCACATTCCTCGCCACCACTGCAAGCCCCATGGGATTGGAGAAGTGCATTTCTCATCCTCTTGAATCCCCTGGACAGCAGACAGGTGCAACTCGGCAGATACCTGTCAGCCTGCCTTCAGCACGTAAACCAGCTGCGAAGGCCACAGGCCCCTGTTCCGCCTGGCCTCTAAGGCCGCACAAGAGGCTGGACTGGCTCACTTCCAGCACTTACCGGAAGGGGAGCTTCTCGTCGTTGGGCTTGATGCAGCGGACGTAGTGTGGCGTCGTGGCATTCAGGGTCTCCATGAGCAGACGCAAGGAGGTGCGGAACTGGGAGAGAGAGGCCAGCACTTGGTTAGTTATTTTTAACATTTTTGTGGATAACATGATAGAGAAAATCTCATACACTGCTGGTGGTGATGATTACTATTATTGCTGTTGTTATTATAGGTACTCTGGAAGGACAGGGAAAGAAATTCAGAGATCTGGGGTCAGAGTCCAGCTCTGACACTTCTACTGTGCTGTGACCAAAATCAAGTCCTTCCCATATCAGGGTTCTCAAACAAAATGGGGAGACACCACCCCATAATGTGCCTAACTCCTAGTGTTGTGGATCAAATGAGATGAAAGGTGGACAGACGCCCTGTGAGAGATCTGACTGCTGTGCACGGGGTGCCTGTTATTCCTAAACCCGAGGCCCTGGAGCCTTGACATCTGGTGCCCAGGCATCCTGAAAACCATTGTGTTTATGTTAAATATGCAGAATAGGCAAATCCATAGAAATAAAAGTAGAGGGTGGTATCCAGAGCTTGAACAGGCACTCTCTCCTCTTTGGAGACATAAAGCCCACCAAGACCCCACACAGTAGGAGCAGCTGTTTTTCAGTCCCAGATTCCTGGGCTTACTTAACCCTCCTCTTCAACCTGCAGATTCCAGACCCTCTTGCCTCCCCAATAAGGTATCTAGGGTCCTTTGGCATGGCGCTCCGTGGGGATTAATGTATTGATTGGGGCTCCTGGCATCCCCTCTCCTCTTTCTTCTGTTAGTTCCCTCTAGTGAAGCTTTTGGAGTTTCCCTCTCCCAAGGACACAAAGACTGAGCCAGGAGGACAGAGCTGCTGATGCCAAGGGGATGGTGGCCACACTCTGACCTTGCAGCCATCCTCCTTCATCTACAGAGATGCCAGGCTGCCATGCATGCCATGGCCCACAGCTTCTGGCCACTGTCCTGGGGCTGACCTGGTGGCCCACGGTTTTCTTGTGTTCCTTGTTGGAGGCTTTCATGGTGGGTCTGGCAGAACGAATGTTGATCTTTGAAGATGATCCCTTCCCAGATGCGGAGGTGGTAGAAACAGAGTCCTTGTCATCATGAAACAAGTCAGCCACTAGTGGGAACTAGAAAGGATGCCAGGAAAAACAAAAGTAAGATCTCTCGCACCTTGTGTTATTTAAACTCTCTTGAAACAGCTTTCCGACACATACCCAAGAGAACTGAAGACATATGTCTGTGCATAAACTTGTTCATAGCAGCATTACTCATAAGAGCCACAAAGTGGAAACCCACATGTCCATTAACTGATGAATGGATGAACAGAACATGGTATATCCATACAGCAGGTTATTCAACAATATGAAGAAAAAATCTTCATCCGTGCTACAACATGGATGAACTTTCAAAACATTACGCCAAGTGAAAGAAGCCAGACACAAAAGAAGACCACATAGCGTGTGATTCCATTTATATGA